AAATTTTTAATTAATAAATAATTTCCGTATACCTCTACCTTTCATTTTCAACTAATATACCGATCATTTTAATAAGCAAGTTTAAATTTAAATTCGCCCGTTTGTATTTCTTTTTTATTATTGAAATATAATGTAAATTTTAGTAATATTTTTGTTTCCATTAACCTAAAAGGTTTTTAAGTAAGTATCCTTTTAATTTTGTGTTCGTGATTTATCACATAGGATTATTGTCTCTCTAGACTCATACTAGTTCAACATTTAACTTTTTCATTTGAGAAAAATAGGCTGTAGATTAATTTTTGTAAATTGGTTATCTGCAGTTCAAATTTTTGATATTTTATTTTCAATAAAAAAGAATAAAATCATCCTATGAATTATCAGGATGAATTATCCGAAAGACATTATTCATTAAATATAAAGAACTAAAAGTTTTAGTGTATTTTTTATTTAAATTACTTTTATGAAGATTTTTCAAAATGTACGAATAAACAATTTTTTAATACTTTTAGTATTTAAACAGTCATTAAAATTTTTACTTAAAATTCTTTATTCTAACAATAAAATACTGAAACAAAACATAGTCTGATCAGCTATCAATGATTTTCATTAACATTATACGTGTAAAGCTGTGTTTATTGAATAATAAGCTGTATCCGATTAAATGTTATTCCCTTATATTATAATTTCTAATAAAACATTTGCTAATTTTATTAAATTGTATTTTGAATCGTAGCATTATTTTGATTTCGTTATCTATTGATTGTTGTGATAATGATATCTTCATTAATGACAAATATACTTATCATCGACTTAGTGTGTTTAAAGATTTATAAAACTTCTATAAAATCAAAAGCATTAAATACTCTATGAGACAATTCATTATTGTTGATCTGTCAAGCTGAAATAAAAAGACAAATACAGAAGTGTGAGCGAACGATCACTCGGGGATAAAATCGTAGGAGCAAACATCGCGATTGTTACGTTTATCAGGGAACAAACAGTCATAACGTAACGATAAATACATATCCGTTGACAAACTTCCATTGCAGTTGTGTGGTGTATTGAACGTTAAAACGACGAAATTATATTTTGTTGTTTTTTTTTCACACAGAGTTTAGCTGTGCAATCTTGCGCTGCTACTCGAAAATGTTCGTCAGCCGCATTAACTGCATCATTTCGGATAATAACAATAACTCATTCCAATCTAATCGCATTAAAACGGATTTTAATAAAATATATCTCCAGATTCACTATATTTACTACGTGTACACGCATGCACAAGCATACAAACACACATCTTTTGCTATCCTTTACTCGTTCATATTACCTTACTCTCATTTGTTCATTTTATTATCCGTCTGCATGTATTTACTAATTCAAAGCTCTATCATACGCTTAGCTCTAGAGTATAAAAAACGCAATTGCATATATTTTTCACGGACAAAAGCATATCTGATCAATGCTCTGAATGCTTAGAACCTTGATATTAGCGCTAGTAGTTTCAAAATTGTCACGTTTAACAATTTACGATTACATTGGCTTATAATCTTCTGTATTAAAAGTAATTAATCCACATTAATTAACCATCTCATAACAATATATTCTTTAATTGAAAAATATCTAGTCTTTTAATATATGATAGTAGTAATAATCTACAATGTATAATTTCAAGGATATTAAATAAAATTTTTCTTTATAGATAATTAAAATATATATAGCCAATAAATTTTTGCTATTGCACGATTTATTAGTACTGTTGATATTATTTGCTTTAAAAATTTGTTAAATGGAAAAAGTGGTCGGACATAGAGAGGATTTTCGACATATTGAAGGCTAATTGAAAGCGATCAGTATAGAAGATCTTAAAAAAAACAAGATTTTCTAAATTAGAAAAAAAAGTTAAAATTGCAAGGCACATTCATTTCCCGTCACTATTATTTCATTATTTATTGTTTTGATTATTAAATTATCATTTGAAGCGAATAAAAAATTTCCAGCGACACAATACTTTCAGCTTGAGAAGCCCCAAAAGTTACATTAACAGTACAAAAAATATTTAGTCGAAGCTTCAAGGTGGTAGTGCAGTCATTACTGCTAATCATAAATAAGTGTCGTTAAAACTTTGAAAATTGTTTATTTGCTTTTAATGTGTAAGGTTGAAAGGAGGCAGCCTTAATCTTGGGAGCTACAGTGACAAGCGCCGATTATTCCGACCAACGACAAACCTCCGGAGTGAACCAGCTTCTCGACCCAAAAGGAACGAATGCCAAGCAGATTTGTTACTATGAAGAGGGCGGATTGTTGTATCAGGGTTGTTGCGGTTGGTTTCGTTAGTGGGGACTTTGCTCTTGGTCCACATTGCCGAGCTCCTCTCTTCAACTACCTCCGCGAACACCTCTCTCTCCCTCTACTCTAAGTGTGTATGTAGCATATGGAGAGCCGCCTATGACCGAACGCTAATCATATATATATACGTATATATTTGTTATTTATAGTAGTAATTTTCAACCCTTTGATATTTATGAATAAATATAACCAGACCGATAATCTTACTAGTATGTTACAAATACGATAATTATATAATTGTTTGAAATTTTAGATGACTGCCAGCCATTTTATTGTAGTTATAAAAATAGTTATTTTTTGTTATTAAATGTATTATATGTTACAAAGTATTTTTTCAGATCGTTATGCAATATTTAATTTGTTAATAGAATGGTAGAATGCTTTTTAAGTATTTTTAAATCACAGTATAATGTTCTTTATTCATTTTGATAATGAAGGAGGTTAGATTGAGTTTAAATGGTACATTGATTATTCATGTATCAAAAGTAAATTAGTACTTGGTTTTTGTTTTAAATAATTCAGATTTATATAAGATCTTGGCTAAATTGAGGTTACTATGTACTTTATTAAATTTGTAAATAGTAGAAAAAAATTAGTAATTAATAACAAACGAAAAGCTTTAAATTTTAATTATAAGTCTATATTTCCTTAATTTAAACAAATATCTATAATCTTATAATCTCTGTCACCACTTATTTGCATAAATATACAGACACATTGTTCTACGGTAGATTATATATACTTGAATTATTATCATATTTTTCAGTCAATTATTTATTAAAAATTTTTTATTAAAAGATTTTTAGCATGATACATATATTTGATTAAAAGAAAAGATTGTGAATGAAAAATATAATTTGCCGAATATTATAATCGTTAATTATGAAAATTCGTTAGTTAATATTAAAACGAGTTTTATTTGTTTTATTTACAAAGCTAAAATAAACATGCAAGCCGATACCGCTGAATGTTTTTATTTGAAAATTACTTACATACACACGCACGCACGCACGCACACACACGCACGCACGCACGCACGCACTCACGCACGCACACACACACACACACACATCATATTGAATAGAAGAAAGAGATTTAATGAGCGATACAACAAGTTTTAATTATATATATGGCAAGGTATGTTAAACTGAGCGAGTCTGAAATATGTGCGCTGTCAAACATCATTCACAAAGATAAAACTACTTTAACTTTCTCGTTTTTTAAACTATTTATAGTTCTATAAATATAGTTTATCTGTCAATATGGCATAAAACAATTTTAATACAATTTTTCATGCCTTGACAGATCGGTGTCAAAGCTCCAATCAATTATAAAGCACTCGAGCGACTACGGAATCTGCAAAGAAAGTATTGACGACCGAGACTATTATATTTTCAGTCGCTATTAGTTGAAGAAAGAAACTTTTGAAAGATAGTGCGCTTATCGCATCCTTCCTCATCGTTGTCCCTATTGGTCACTAAATGTAACATCGACATGCGATTTCCTTGAATACGCCCTCGCAACCAATTGCAATTTCACTAGGGATTAACCAATCCCCTGACATATATTTACTTGTATATAGCCTTAATGAAGTATGCGAACCCGATATTTTATCGAACATTACCAATATTTTAAAACGTGTCTGTAAATAATATATTTTGAAAAATATTATCATAAATATTTATTATCTTTTGTAAAAGCGTTACATAAACATTTGCTTTTAATCAATTTTGTTTTTTCTCTCAATGAAAAACTCTCGTCAATCCGTATTTGTGAATATTTAGTTTTATCAATCTTACTGGAAAATTGTCGATTAATTAATAGTTGCAAATTTGTCAAACTATTCATTATGATTATGCGCGGCAAACATAACGGCATTCTTTATGAAAACTTAGTATTCTTATTTATTCATGATGAATTTTATACTTCATAAGAATGATAGGTGACATTAAATTGTTGTTCATTTTTAATTTACGCAGTTTACGTAAGAAGAAACCGTTGCTAAATGTTTTGTTACCGAATTTTCAATATTAATGGCTTTTTGTATGATTCTACATTTACGCGTGTCTAAGCTCTATCTATTCTATTTAAACGTATCTGTATCTCGTATGTACATGGAATATAAATATAAATGTATGCATTTTATTGAGATTGATCAATACTTTCTCTCCATAATTTCAAGAAATAATGTTCTTATGAATCGCCTAATATATCTTTAAATTTAGTAATATTACATGTGCAACTATGCATTCTCACAGATACTTTCTATCACATTTTAAGTAAGTATGCGTTTCACGACCATTTAATCCAGCGCGCGTAGTTGGAGGCATTTTTGATGGATGCCGAATGCGAAAAGTATGCCTTTGTGCGTCTTGATTGTAGAGGCGCGCGGAGATGTCAGCCGGATGGGGGTGTTTATTGTACATATATATACGGAGGTCGCAACAGGTCGTCTTGCTCTCGCGAGTGCTTTAGCATCTTCGTCCTCCAAACCGACTACGCGCTCGTAAATAAACGCGTAGGTAGAGAGTGACGTCGACGACAACAATCGACGAGGAGAAGGAGGAGGAGAACATCGAGGACCGGCTTTTAATGAAAGCGACAATGGAGAGGAAAAGTCATGCGCGCACGTGGGCCGCTTCCAAGATACTCACACAAGCAGATGTGGAGTAATACGGTAGCGAGAAGGACGCCGAGCTTACACGTTGCCATCAGAGTTGCTTCAGTCTCTTCCAACGCGTCTGTACGTGTACACGTGCGCCAATGAGAGCGCGAACGTCAGGCTGAAGCAGCTGAAGAGAAGCAAACTTTCAGTCAGCAATCTGAAACAGAGATCTTACTTAAGTACTGCTGACTTGGCTCGGCTCTCAGGGACTCTATGTACGTGCATCGGAGGGCACGCGGCTATAGTAAGAAATTCGTAGAGGGAATGAGAAGAGAGCATTTAGCATCGGAAAATGACGAGACTAAGTAAATCATGAACAACTTTCTCTCGCTCTCTCTCTCTCTCTGTCTCTCTCCCTTTCAACCTCCCTCTCTTCGACTCCATTGAGGTACGCCCTCGCCGTCGACGTCCTTTTGCTTTTTACGTATAGCTTTGGCGTATGAGTATAGCTAAAGAGTCGAAGGGTGAGGACGGAATGCGTGGAGCGGAAGTGGGGAGGACAGCTTTATTAAATGATTACGTATTGTTTCATTCGTGAATGTGAAAAAGGTAACTTTTATTGAGATCAGTAAAAGTACAGATGGACTTTTTATTCGTTTCTTTTGACTCGTTCTCATATAGTTCTCGTATAGCTTTTTCTATAATTAATGTCGAAGACAATTAATACAATAATATATATATATATATATATATATACATTTTAGGAAAATCAGCAATCTTAGTTTAATAAGAGCGCATTTTCATATCGTGCATTAGTTGTGTTTTTACAAAAACTTACTTACTAATAATTCTCGAGACAATTGATGGGGAATTTGTAGTATGGTGTTTGAAATCTTATGATAGAAGTTTCGATCGCTAAATATAAATATTTATTGAAACTCGGCATTGCGCTCATCGATGTGACTTTATCGTGGATCTTTCTGTTAATATTCAATGGGATGGAAACCCTATGGTTAGTTACTGATAAGTATTCCAACGTATAAGAACTATTTCTCTGGGACAATGATAGTTCTATAATAATTTATCGACGGGAAGTAAATTTCGAAAGGAATTTGATATGTAGAACGTACTTATACTTATACTTCTACTAGACACATGACGTATGAGAAAACGAAAAAATTTTTAACAATTCCATTTGATTAAATAACGAAAATTTAAATTCTCCTAGAGGATAATGCTTTGGAAAAATGACTACACGTCTATTTCGATAGTAAATGAAATTAGTAAGTGAAAAAATTCATTAATCGGATTGTCTTCTGCAGTCGCTTGTTTCAAAAACTACTTGCAACGTTGTTGATTACGATAAAATTGCAATTTTGCAATTGAAAAAATACTTTTTGGTATGAAGCAATTGTTTCGAGAGATTTATCAAATTCGGATATATCGGCTATGGCGATATCCTATCTACTTAATGCAAAATGTACTGCCGAGAAAATCATCACTTTTATCATTATGTGTTAACATTTTTGTTTGAAACTTATTAGTTTTAAAAATTTGAGACAAATACTTGTCAATTCACGGGTGAGTCGCCTTATTATATTACAATAATATGTATAAAAATAATATCTGCAATAATTAAAAATATTTATTGTGATTTTATTGTGAGTAGTTTGTAAGGCGATAGTAAGTTATTTTAATGCAATTGATTAATGTGAAACGTTATAAATGGAAAGCGATTCGTTCATATTTACGACTCCGGGTTATTCGTATAACTTATCTATAAGATTTTGTTTCTTTTACATTTAAAAGAATATTCAGAAAGAATATTAGATTAATTTTTAACTTACTGTAATTAATTAATAGTCTATATTATTAACTTACATTAATGAATGTACTAAAGTTTCTTTTTTTCGAGAAGTAAAGATTATCTATAAGAACATATATTTGAAAATTTGAGTTACTTGATCGTATTAAGGACTTAAAAGTTCATTTTACATTTAACAAGGCTTTTTGATATTCTAATAAAAAAAGACAATCGACAGATATTGCAATAACATTTAAGGGAGCAATGATGAATGTACGTATTATTTATATTCGAGATATTCTTATTAAAGTATGTGAATTACTGTTCATTTATTTGCCACATTATTTTGATTTCCAAGTATAAAAATAGCTTAATTAAAAAAACAGCCAAGATATTCGAATTAAAATTCAAAGATAACTAAGTATATGTGTATTAACTCGTAATAAATATGTTATTGCTTAGTCTGGGAGCATAGAAAAATCGCAGTTAGTCGTAAATTTTCGTGGTCGAAGGATATGAAAAATAAATCATAAATAACAAGTTTCCCATTAATGTTGTCGGAAAATTCACTGTGACTGCTTGTCATTTATCAAAAGTCACGATCGATCATACGTTGCGGTTTGCTCTACGCACTCGCGCTATAAATGTCACACCGCCTACGAAACACATACGGTGAAACTGTATCTTATATAGTCGATATCGGCAGTCCTTTATAAAAGATTGAAAAATATATAAATTATCGAACGATCCGAAGGCGGGAAAGAAAAGCGATCGCGCTTCTCGTATAATTGGACGATTTTTCAGTTGCGGCTCTGGCGACTGTGATCGCCAAAATGGATTTTCTCTTACGGATATGTATATATACATATCGCAAGCACAAAATGGAATTTCCACATTCGTCCTATCAGAAAGTACCTATTTCCTATATACAGCTCACTCCCTCTTCTTACTCCATCATCTTTCTGCTTCCTACGTGTATGTATAAACATCCACGTACGCACGCACACATATACACATTTGCGCGGGTTTCTCTTTCGTCATACGTGCCTCAGTCAAGCGTCGGTGATTTCGATACCTCTGTCATGTATTTCGTGTGTGTACGCGTGTGCGTGTGCGTGTGTATTTGTGTTTGTTTGTTTGTTTTTTTGTTTGTGTGTGTGTGTGTGTGTGTGTTTGTGTGAAAGAGAGAAAGAGAGAGAGAGAGAGAGAGAGAGATGCCATAAGTTATGACTCCTACTGTATGAATTTATGCATGAGATATGAACTTTATGCTTTATGCATTGGACGCAGTGGGCGATAAGGAGCTGCGTCGTGCTGCTATGGTAGTTGCACGCGCTCGAGAGAGTGATAGAGGAAAGAATAAGGAAAAGAGATATACAGAGAGATAGACATAGAGAGACAGCGAGAAAGAAAGAGAGAGAGACAGATCGCGCGCGCGTGTGCGTGTGTGTGTGTGTTTGTGTAGAATGGGGGAAGAGACTTTTCGCAAAGTCCGAGCGCAAACGCATTTAATCATTCAATTGCGTTCGCAAGACGGCTATGTGGTGTATAGAGTTTTATAATCGTATATGATCGACGCGCAATTCTTTTCAATTTACCTCCTCAGGGGAATTTAGAGAGATTTTTTCGTTTGCCAGGAGCTTGAGAGTCACGTATTACCTAATATAAGCGACGACCCTCTAAATTTCTCAAGGGGAAATTTACTTTCCGGCTGAAAGTTATATGGAGCTAAATTCACGTTGTTACTCTGCTGGAGTGAGTTTTTCAATTTTTTTCAACTTAGAATTAGCCCAATTCATTTGATACCTTTATATTAATGAATTGAATTATACGTTATATGAGCATACCAAGTATAAAGACGTTGGGATCTTTATTTATATTGAGTCAACGTTGAAGGAAAATTAGAATTTTTCATTTAATCCGGACTATCGAATGATAAAAGTGATTGGAGTAAGTTTTATAAAATTACTATTTAAGAAGATTTATTGTTAATATTAGCATTCAATTATAATATTAAATAGATAATTTTCTTTAAAAAAAAGAAAAAAAGGATCGTGAGTTTCGAACGTTGTCCGATTATTTTCGTCTTATTCTACTACAATCGATGATTATTACAATCAAGTAAGTAAAAGACAAAGGACAGTATTGATTTTTAAATTTAAAGTTCGTTCAATTCTGCATTTAAAGCTAAATGATATAACGTAAATATCGAATTTGAAAATATTAGATTAAAATTATTTACAGGTCTTTTTGGCTTACGAATGATACATTGGGTGAGCGGAGATATATAGTAAGGTGTGAGGGACAGAAGAAAATGTAAAGATATATAAGATGGAAATGATTTAAATAAGGGAATTGCGCCGAGGCACAAAACTGCGATAAAACCACTTTCTTACTTTGAAGACACATCATTTATTTGAAAAAAGAAAAAAAACAATTAACCATTCTATTCTTCTTAGTTGAGTCTTGCATATTTTTTTGAAGAATGATTAAAATCAGTAGAAGAAGACAGTATCGTGAAGAAATAGTCAATTATAATATATAATAAGCCAATATGTATTTGAACCAAGAGTTTTTAATGCTATGTTTTTAAATGTCCATTTAAAAATAATGGCATTCATTTCTTTTAGTTTATATTTCTCATAGGTCAAGTACAGATATTGATAATTTTGAAATTCTTTTGGGGCTAGAAATTTATCTTTTTACGGGCATCAGCGCTTTCCATTAGCTGAGAGAATAAAATTGAAATTATATTACATTAACGTTTAAGTAATCTTTAATTTCACATCTGTGCCTATTATCATTATCGTAAAATTTTAATTGTTTTATTTTAAAAACTGTAAGTTATCAAAATATTATATTTTAAAGTAAATTATATCTAGGCGCTTCTGTTTTATTTCATTTTAATGCGTAAGTGTGCGTGTTGTAAGGTATCTGCGGAAGGTAATAATTTTAGGGGAAGATTTGTCTTGCTTGTACAGACTTTATTAACTCCCCTTTATTGCGGGTATTTTGTATGATAGTTGGCGAATAAATTCTAAAGTGTGCAGCGCAGCAAAGTGATGTAAACGATAAAATGCAGGTCGCATAATATTTATCACCACGAGGCAGTGTTGGTGTGGATGATGCGCGCCTATATTCGGTTATATTCGCACAGAAAAAGTATTTCACTATGGGTTATCTGCATTATTCATTGGGAATTACCCGACACGTTTTAAGAACAAAATATCTGTAATGTAACCATTGAAACTT